ACTCCCATCTTCATAGCAGCAGCAAATTAAACAAACCAAATGGCACTCAGTAGGATTTTAATAATTAGTATAATAAGGTTTCTTATGAAAAGATAACTTGCATATTCAAGATATTGAAAGTGGCTTTAAAAATCTTGATTAGAGTTAGTATTACTAAAAGAAAAAAACAGGAGTCCGTTAAAAAGTAATTCCTTAAATCAAAAAGTTTGCAATAAAGCCAAAGAAGCCATTATGAGCTACAATATAAATAGGCATTTAATGATTTTTTTCAATGTTACATTATTGATCTGACAGGCCATCTAGTTCTGCTGAAATGAATATGTAATTTGTTTAAGGTAGCATTAATAGGATTTGCAGCACATTAGATACCCTGGGTACTTCTCATCATCAGAATTACGACTATAAAAAATGAATTTCACATTGTCTTTCAATGAAATATCTGCATAATTTTGGAAATCACAGCAAAAGACCAGAGACATTAGATAGATACACTCCTCATATGCAAAAAGGTATTTCTCCATCACAATACCATGAATATCATATATGCTATTCAATAAATATTCAACATTTACTTACTAATGTCATATACACTACTCTGTGCACTGAAAACACAATGGTGAATAACAGATATGGTCCCTGTTCTCAAATAGTTTATACTCTATCTTTGGCAAAAATGAAACAAGCTGTAAAGGATGCTATTCAAGCACAGAAAAAAAGAACCCAATTTCCTACCAAGGGAGCCAGAGAAAACATCCAGAGAAACTGATATTTAATCTGAGATGAAGCAAGAAGGAAGGCGTAACCAGGTTCTAGAAGGAGGTGATGGTTGGGTAAAACAATGGCTTTGGACAAATAAAACTATGGTCAGAGGCACAGCATGTTCAAATTGCCAAGTATTTTGTTAAGAGTTGTCTTTCAGATTGGCAGTAGTGGGAAACTGCCAGGGGAGGGCGAGGACAGGAATGGCAGTAATGGAAAACTGCTGGGGTAGGGGGGATGGCGGGGGGGGGGGACGACGGGACCTCATCAACAAGGAACCTGCATGATGAACATTTGTATACCTAACCCTGAATTGTACCCCACATATTTAAAATATATAATTTTTTTTTAAAGAGTTGTCTTTCGTGTAAAATAGAAACTATTTTGTGGACAAAAGTTATCTACATCTTTATCCAGGAAGAAAAAAGTAAAAACTCACAATTTCATCTTAGCCTATTCCTCATTCAAACACACATGTATTTCTTCATGCCACAGTATATGCCAGCATGAGAGAGGATGACTCAGTGGTGAATAAGAAGGACTCAGTATTGTCCTCAGGGAGGCAACACAATGACCAACAACCAAACACAAGGGAGTGCTTCTGTGGCTACATGTGAGTCTGAAATGCAGCTCCCTGGTTTGTCATAATTGAATCAAATATTTAGCATAAAAGCTACTGTTTGAAGACTCATCCAGTAATAAGAGAGGAATTGTTATTTCACTCAACTACGGTAGTATAACAGGAAAATTAAAAGAAATTTTACATCCTATGGACATCAACAAGGAATTATGTTTGTATTTTCAAATAAATGTGACTAATTCGTGTTTTCCAATTTCAAAGCACTTTTTTGGGGGGGAGGGTTTTTTTATATTTTATTTTAAAGACATAGGGTACAATTTAAGATTAGGTACACAAGTGGACACTGCACAAGTAAAGTTTGGGCCACCCTCTGGTCCCCACTTTGCCTGGTTTGAGATCAGGTAGCCTTATTGATGCTGTGCCCCTACTCCCACCCGGCAGTATTCTGCTACTGCCAATCCCTTTCTTATAGTATTACAGTAAATGTTCTCAAAGTACTTTTACACATTTTTACTGTTCACACAAGAGAACTCAAGCAGATATTTTAACAACAGCTTACCATAGGCCAAGCCCTGATTGTGAAGGGCCAGGCTCTTCACCAGAGACTTGATACCCATGATCTCATTTCATCCTCACAACAATTCTGCAAAGTAACTATTATCTCCCTTTCACAAACACAGAACCTGTGGCTTAGAGGACTTAGATACTTGCCCAAAGACACATGGCTGACAACTGGTGGGGTCAAAGTCATCCCGGGTCAGTCTGTGCAATTCCTTGTACCCCACTGTGTGACTTCAGAGTCACCTGAGTATGACCAGCAATAGAGCTAAAGAGTGAACACTGAGCAGAGGAGGCAAAACTAGTCTTCGGGCAGGGAGTTTGCTCAGTCTTCTCTCACCCACACTAAAGTCGCACCACAGGCTGACCCTCAAGGTCCCTGCCTCCACCTGAATTCATTTTAGCTTTCTCACAATTCCATTCCTTTGGATTCTCTCTAAACCATCTTTCTAAGGAAAGCAGGAAAGGATCACAGAAAAATATCTAAGTAAACATTATAATAATTAACAAGCAACACTGCTCACACCCTGCATCCACTACTACCCCTGGTATTGCATGTTCCTGAAGTGCATTTCACATTGGAATCCACTTACTATTAAAGAGCTGTAATAAAAGCTCAAAACTGTGCCTAAGTTTACATATATATAATTTCATGTAATCTTCAAAATAATCCTAACAAGTCTATAGTATTATCCTCAGTTTACAGACATCAGCAGAAGCTTATCAAGGTTAAATAGTGTGCCCAGCCAGGCTGGGTGGTTCACGCCTATAATCCCAGCACTTTGGGAGGCAGAGACAAGAGGACTGCCTGAGCCCAGGGATTTGAGACAAGCCTGGGCAACTTGGCGAGACTTTGTCTCTACAATAAATCAAAAAAATTAGCAGGGTATGGTGGCAGGCACCTGTAGTTCAAGCTACTTGGAATGCTGAGGTGAAAGGATCACTGAGCCCAATAGGTCGAGACTGTGGTGGCTTTGAGTATGCCACTGTGCTCCAGTCTGGGTGACAGAGTGAGAATCCTACTCAAAAAATAAAAAAATAAAAATGTGCTCAAGGTCACATAACTATGAGTGGTGTAGCAATATGGTCAGATAATTAAACAAAAATACCAAATTATTCGAACTGGAATTTGTAGGTGTGTACTCAATAGTCACATTATCAGAATTAAATAATTTTAGTGTGTGGTACATTGTTAAATTTAAAAAGTTAGATATATCACTTAAAATCTTCACATCTTTTACATTGCACTAGGGTGCTTGATATCTATTTGAATATGTATCTTTTTTTTTTCTGAGTCAGAGTCTCACTCTGTCACCCAGGCTGGAGTACAGTGGCACGCTCACAGTCACCGCAGTCTCAACCTGCTGAGCTCAGGCAATCCTTCTGCTTCAGTTTACCAAGTAGCTGGAACCACAGGCACATGCCACCAGGCCCAGCTAATTTTTTTTATTTATTGTAGAGATGAGGTCTCGTCACATTGCCCAGGCTGGTCTCGAACCCCTGGGCTCAAGCAATCCTCTCGCCTCCACCTCCCAAAGTACTGGGATTACAGGCATGAGCCATTATGCCCAGCTGAATAATATATATTTTCTTCAATATTTTCTTCAAAACCTTTTCATCTTAAGAAAATTAAGGCTGGGCACAGTAGTTCACATCTGTAATCTCAGCACTTTGAGAAGCTGAGATGAGAGGACTGCTTAAGGCCAAGAGTTCGAGACCAGCCTGGCAACATAGCAAGACTTCATCTCTACAAAAAAACTAAAAATTAGGTGTGTGATGGCACACACCTGTAGTCCCCAAAACTTGGGTAGCTAAAGTAAAAAGATAGCCTCAACCCAGGAGGGTTGAGGCTGCAGTGAGCCATGACCATGCCACTACACTCCAGCATGGGTGACAGAGTGAGACCCTGATGAATGAACGAAAGAACAAACGAAAGAAAGAAAAAGAAAGAAAGAAAACTTTTCACCTTAAGAAAAAAAAGAGGTCTATCACTTTTTTTACTTTTTGAGTCAGAATCTCACTCTGTTGCCCAGGCTGGAGTGCAACGGAACGCTCACGACTACCACTGCCTTGACCTGCTGGGCTCAGGCGATCCTTCTGCCTCAGCCTCCCAAGGAGCTGGAACTACAGCTATGCACCACCACACTAATTTTTAAAATTTATTGTAGGCATGAAGTCTTATCAGGTTGCCTAGGCTGGTCTCAAACCCCTGGATTCAGGCAATTCTCTTGTTTCCACCTCCCAAAGTGCTGGAATTACAGGTGTGAGCAAGTGTGCCCGGCTAGGTCCATCACTTTTAGTGACGGTTAATATTAACATTATTTAGGGTCCAACAAGAGATGTGATGTTCCCTCTTTCTAGAACCCTATATTTTTGAGTTGGGGTCGCACTGTGTTGTCCAGGCTAGAGTAAAGTGGCATGATCACAGCTCATTGTAGCCTTGATTGCCTGGGCTCAGGAGATCTTTCCACCTCAGCCTCCCAAGTAGCTGTGACTACAGAGGCACACCACCACATTTGGCTAATTTTTTAATTTTTTTGTAGAAATGGGGTCCCACTATGTTGCACAGGCTGGTCTCAAACAGAACCCTGCTTTAAAAGCCAAAAAAAAAAAAAAAAATCACTGTAGTTTATCCTTTTTGTAAAACAATCATTTCATACAAGTTTGATGGAGTGGATAAATCACAAATATTTATAAATAAATGGGGAAAGTACAGAGATGAAGAGGTCAATGTAAGTATCACTTTTTGGTGTCCCCATTCCTCTAAAACTTACTATAGGTACTTCCAATTCTCAAAGTAAACGTGCATATCATTTTAGAAAACTTGCAATGGAAAAGGAACAGAAATAAGTTAAGTACAAATATATACTATGACTATATATATATATGTATATACTACTTTGTCTAATGTATCAAAAGGCTTGCCTTATTTTCTCATCTACATTATTTTCTTCACTTTAGAGACAAACTCAAAAACAAGTCAGGCAGCAGTGCTTGTGTGTAAGCTAACTGAACCCACAAGCTTTTAAACTGAGGTGGGGGTTGGAGGGCAGGCAGGTACATACATTATTAAATACACAAAACAGATGTCCAAAACACTTACCAATTTGTACTTGTTCAGGCTGGCTGAGAGAAACAAATGCTGATGTGTCATCAATCCAGGATATCTGAATGTTACCTGCAATAACAAATTAAAAACAAAGTTGGCCAAGCTCGGTGGCTCAGACTGTAATCCCAGCACTCTGGGAGGCCAAGGTGAGTGGACTGCCTGAGCCTGCAGGTTCCAGACTAGGCCGGGCAACTTGGCGAGACCTTGACTCTACAATAAGTCAAAAATTAGCCGAGCGTAGTAGCGTGCACCTGTTGTTCGGCTACTTGAGAGGCTGAGGAGGAAGGATCACCGGAGCCCAGCAGGTCGACTGCACTCCAACCTGGGCAACAGAGTGAGACTCCAACTCAGGGAAAAAAAAAATCAAAATTAACAGTGACCATTTGGAGGGTAAATAGATTTAATTCATATACCTGGCATATTTCTGTATAGGCTATAATTTAAAGAGATGAGGTGCTGGTCTAAAACTTAATCAAAAGTTCAGCACTGGCCAAGGACAGTGTCTCATGCCTGTAATCTCAGTGCTTTGTGAGGCTGAAGCAGGAAGATTGCTTGAGGCCAGTAGTTCAAGACCAGCCTGAACAACATAGCGAGATCCTGTCTCTGCTAAAAATAAAAGTGAAATTGCTCAGCGTGGTGACACATGCTGACAATCCTAGCTGCTTGGAAAGCTGAAGTTGGAAGATTGCTTGAGCCCACAAGTTTGAGGTTACAGTGAGCTATGATTGTACCACCACTGCACTCCAAGCCTGGACAACAGAGTGAGATCCTGTCTCAAAAAAAAAAAAAAATCTCAGCACTACAGAATTAGCCTACTTAAGACTTAAATCTACCTAGCAGTTGTTTAGGTTAAAACTTGAGAGAAGAGACAAACAGGAGGAAGAATAAACTACCAAAAATTCATTTTAATATAACAGAAAGATTCTTTCAGATTAAATGCTGAGGCACATCATCATTCAATCCAATCTCATACCAGGGTTGAATACTTTTTCCCCTATAAGAACATGAACAAAAATCAGATACCACACAGGTTCAAAACCACAACTATTTATTTTAGAAACAAAACTCTGAACATTAAAAATGGGGTTAGAGCCAGGAGCAGTGGCTCACACCTGCAATCCCAGCACTTTGGGAGATGGAGAAGAGGACTGCCTGAGCCCACGTTTTGAGATAGGCCTGGGCAGCATGACAAGACCTCGTCTCTAATACTAAATAAATTTTTAAAAATTAGTCAAGCATAGTGGCGCATGCCTGTAGTTCCAGCTACTTGGAAGACTGCAATGGAAGGATCCCCTGAGTCCAGCAGGTCCAGGCTGCAATGGCCACGAGCGTGCCACTGTACTCCAATCTTGGTGACAGAGAGAGACTCTGACTCAAATAAATAAATAAAAATAAAAATGGGACCAAGTGGTGGTTCACACCTGCAATCCCAGCCCTTTGGGATTACTCCTCCTGAGCCCAGGAGTTTGAGACCAGACTACACACACAATAAGACATTCATCTCCAAAACAAAAAGAAAAAAGGAAGTATGGAAATGAGACTGCAAATGTAACAAGTAATAAGAAAAATGTAATGTCAATATTAAGGCCAGGGAAAGAGAATAGGCAGCAAAATATTCTGAAGGACAAGGAAAAGAAGGAGCCAGAGAGAAAAAACACAGACAGATGAATAAAGAAAAAGAGAGGAGCAAAAAGCAATAGAGTGAAACATGTGACATTCACATACAAGGAAAAATACTCAAGAACGCCTAAGTGTAAACAGAACAGAACGGAGGAGCCTGCTGAGGAGTAGAAAGGAGGAGCAGGGCCGGGGATAAGAAGCTAGAGAAAGCTGAAGGGAAAAGCACAGACCTAATTATTCTGCTACCACTCTTCATGAAAAAACACAGTTCTGATTTTACAAAACAGACAAACATCACCACAAACATGTTTAGCAATGAAAACATGTCATTTCCACTAAAAAGCTACAAATTTTTGAAAATTGCTTTGCTTCACTAGCAAAGGAGAAAAAAAACACTCTCACTTCCAGCCACGCATGCTGACTTGCTCAGTTAAAAAATCAGTTACTATTATTTGGTTACCTCTCCATGGGGGTATGTGTGTGTCCATCCCTGTTTGATGAATAAAGATAGATAACATCTACTGGATAGTTATATGCCACACACTTCTAAATGCCTTCCATGGATTAGTTCACTTAATCCTTGTGACATACCAATGAAATAGTTATTATTATTACCTCCAAGAAAGACAGAAAGAACTTGACCAAGGTTACATGGTCAAATTTTTTTACTCAATTTTTTTTTACTTAATTTAGTCGACAAAAGTTTGACTATATAAAGGATAAAAACTTAAGATGAGAAACAACAAAAGCTTTCAAAAGAAATTAGCCTTGAAATTCAAATGCATTTCTGAATCTGCATTTAAATTAAATAGCAAGGCTAGAATTTCAGGGTTAGGATAACTTTGTAGACATGTACCTGCTTTCACATACTTTTCTAAAAATTAAGTGAGTAAAGTTTTTTACTTATAAAAAGTAAAATATGCTTATTTTAGAAAATCCAAAGAAACAAAAAGGAAAAAAAGAATTATATCTAAAACATTCAGTGATAATAACATGATATTTCCTTTCAGCCTAATTTCTTGTTTTGTTTTTTTGAGTTGGAGCCTCATTCTGTTGCCCAGACTGGAGTGCAATGGCACACTCACAACCAACGTAGCCTGGACCTACTGGACTCAAGCAATCCTTCTGCCTCAGCCTTCCAAGTAGCTGGAACCACAGGCGCGAGCCACCATGCCCAGTTAACTTTTTTTTATTTCTTGTAGAGAAGAGGTCTTACCATGTTGCCCAGGCTGGTCTCGAACCTATGAACTCAGGCACTCCTCTCACCTCTGCCTCCCAAAGTGCTGGGATAACAGGTATAAGCCATCCTGCCCGGCCGTAATCTTTTAAAAACAGTCTTACTTATACAGGAATCCTACTTTTTTTTAAATCTGATTTTTACTATGTTAAATTATAAACACCTTATCATCTTTTAATGAACTCTTCAAATATTTTTAAATGGCTATATACTAGTTCCTTGAGGGAATACCAAAATATTTACTTAAACATTCTTACTATTGGACATTTAGGTTTTTGTTGCCTTCATTTTATCCAAGAATTTCCAAAGAGAATAGCTTAAACACTTCATTTGTTAAAATAAAGAGGCATTGCTGCAGGCTTACAATCAAAATGGTCTTTATAAACCCTAATAAGAAGACAGCATCAATTTAACCTAACCACATGTCCTGATAAAGAGAACTGTTCATACAAATCACAAATCTTGATTTGCTCAAGCATCTGCTTGTCACCCTTTGATTATTCAGTCTCAAGCAGAGACCACATGTCTATATAAAATAAACGTTCTCTCTGAATTTAACCTTAAAAGTGACTTAATTTCAGCCTAGGCTTATTTTCTCTGGGCTGTATAGTAAGGACAGTCATAGTAACGACATCTTGCTTTCCATGAATTAATAGCACTCTATTGTGAGGTTCTATTAAAAGTTCCACTGATCATATTAACACAAGGAAAGCAGTATCCTAAACCCAAAAAAATTCCCCGGGGGAAGTTATAATTTTTTTTTTTTTTTTTGAGTTGGAGTCTCACTCTGTTGCCCAGCTGGAGTGCAGTGGCACACTCACGACCACTCCTGCGTCGACCTGCTGGGCTCTGGCAATCCTTCTGCTTCAGCTTTCCAAGTAGTCGGAACTACAGGTGCATGCTACCACATCCAGCTAATTTTTTATTTATTGTAGAGACGAGGTCTCGCCAAGTTGCCTGGGCTGGTCTTGAACCCACAAGCTCAGGCAATCCATTCACCTTGGCCTCCCAAAGGGCTGGGATTACAGGCTGAGCCACCGAGCCCAGCTGGAAATTATAACGTTTAATATTAACGTCCTTTTATATCCAAGTGGAAGCTGTCTATCTATCTCTGACCATATACCAAAAGAAGAGCAAAACCCTAAAATAGTATATCTGTAATTGTGACTTACCAAAGGCACTGAAAAGCTGGTAAAGGTCGCTTGTTTTCCATTCTTTGGGGAATGTCACATGGAGAACATGATCACGTTTAGGTTGCACTGAAAGATAAATTTCTGATGAAATGTTGATAGTTGAAAAGTAATCATGGGCCATTGCTTTGCTAAACTCTGGTGTGTCCACATGGCTCTCTGCGCTATCACCGCCATGTTTCTTAGCTTTGGCCACCTTCCCAACCTTGGGGAGGTGAATCTCTCTATCTCCTCTCTCTCTAATTTACTTTCTAGATAAACTGCTTTTCCAGTCTAAAAGAAAAGTAATCATGTACACCAGCAATTCTTTGATGAAACTAAGTATAAGCTAACTTGGGGAACGGTTATAAATTCCTCTTGATTACCAAACAAAACTCCTAAAAGTACTCTTAGGATTGGTAAGACTCATCGTAATACAGACTTGAGTTTTTGATACCTTATAGAACTCACAACCATTTGAACTCTATGGAGAAACATCTCTTCTCATGAAGTCTCTGTGCATATTATTTAAAAGAAAAAAAGGCTGCTCTGTTTAAGAAGATTCACTAACCAGTTAACTTTCTCCTTTTTATCTTTCTACATATTTATTGAGCTAAAAAGAAAAAAGCACTGTCCAAATTAAATTGACTAATTGTTTTTAAGTAGAGGCAATTCTGAGTTACAATCTTGTGTTCTAATCCCAAACCCACCATCAAACTGTGCAACTCTAAGCAAGAGACCCAACCACTCTACCACTTTTGGCTATAAATTGGGAATGGCAATATTTAGCATACAGAATTCTTATAAAATTGACAGAATAAAATATCAGTCTAATATGGAAGGCAACACAACAGTATGTCCTCAAACTATCATTGCAACAATTATTATCATCACCTATAGTTCATCCATTTCTACATGCCACTGACATGCATTAAGGCAAAATAAGCTAAGGGTAGAAAAACGGCAGTGGGAATAGAAAAGTAGAAGAAAAGAAGTAACTGCCTTTCAGATAGATTGGCATTCTAAGGTTTTTAAATGAAAACAACAACAAAAAAATTGACCTACTAAATTTAAATATATGCATATTCAAGTAATCAGAAAATAGAAATTCTACCAACCTACTAACAGCTTTGCATATATCTTAAAATCTATTATCAATATTTATAGGATATGATGAAATCAGAGTTCTAAGTGAAAATAAAACAAAAATATATTTTTCAAAAATTCAATTCATGCATAAACTGAAAAACATAAAAAATGACTAATGAATGCCCAAGGATCCCCTTAACTTACGCATACTAGTCGTGTGTCAACCACAAAATCACTGCTCATTTTTAAGTGAAAAAAACTCTTTCTTTAGTAATACTTTGTTATCCTTTCTAGATCACACATTTAAATGTGCAGATGCAATAAAATAAAATTTACTTACAGTCTGGTCCTTCCAAGTTTAGGTAGGGAATATCCATGACCCTCATAAGAAATAACCTACAAAAAGAAAAGGAAAACAAGTAATAAACTAATGTATTTTTAAAAGCCTACAGAGGCATTTATTCAACTTTTTAGGTAGAAGCTCCTTGATTATATTACTCTATTTCTAAAATCAGTTCTAAAGCTCTGAAATTTATTTCAGAGGTTTTGCTGTTAGGCCAAATATTTATCATATATGGAAAAAAACCAACTGGTATACCCAACACCTATAAGAGTTCCTAGCACTCAGTAGCTGCTATAAATATTAACTAAATGAATAAAAATTAGTAATCAAAGAGTCAAAAGAAAGTCCGTGCAGTGTGGCCTTGTTAGCTAGCCCAAGGAAACTGAAAGAAAATATTAAACATCTTAACAATTGTATGAACAACTTATAAGGGAAGCCCTTCAATTGGTGTTTGTAAACTGTGAATGACAGCTAAGTTTCTTTTTTAAAAAAATTAAATGTAACAATCACTGAATGAATGCTAATCTCTGGGTAAACTGCAGTCTGAAATAAGTGACTGTCTCAAAAGCCCGTATTATTATCATTATTTAGAACATACTAAAAGCACAAAGCAAAACAATCCTTGGTAAAGAAAACTATCACACTAATATAAACCACAGCAGTCATTTTATGTATCTCTTCCAAAATAGATACAAAAGCACTTAAAAAAGAGTGCTTGTAAATTAAAACTTTCTGTAATCCCATTCAATTTTCTTTTATTTGTAAGATTATGGACAAAATATCAGGCATTCTGTTGTTTATAAGATGATTTTAATGAGTCTTACTTAAATAACGATACATTGTGCAATTTCTGGTACAGACTACATTATAGAGCAAATTAAAAAGGCAATCCAAGTTCCCAAAGAGCAATTAGTTTGGCTTCACTGACCCGCAATTAAGGCACATTATTACCAGGCATTCAAAAGCAAAGCAGGGCATCAGCTAGTTTACAAATGGAACCATCAGCATGAACAACACTGTTCTATTAACGAAAAAACAAAATCATAGTACTCTGTGATTTGAGAACTTGTAGTCGGGCCTGCAATTTAATAAACCAAATGTGACCGGGCTCAGTGGTTCAGCCTGTAATCCCAGCGCTTTGGGAGGCCAAGGTGAGTGGACTGCCTGAGCCCGCGGGTTCAAGACCCACCTGGGCAACTTGGCAAGACCTCATCTCTACAATAAATCAAAAAATCAGCTGGGCGTGGTAGCGCATGCCTATAATTCCGGCTACTCGGACGGCTGAGGCGGAAGGATCGCCAGAGCCCAGCAGGTCGAGGCTGCGATGGCCAGGAGCGGCCACTGCACTCCAGTCTGGGTGACAGAGTGAGACTCCAATTCAAACAAACAAACAAACAAACAATAAATAAATAAACCAAATGCTATGGCTAAAAAACAAATTTGGTTTTAGTTCACTAATTTAGGCTCAAGTGTACTATTCGAGTTTTGTAAGCTGTTTTACCCAATTTAACCAATACTACCCGCAATGCTAGACAACAGTAAGATACAAAAAGCACCTAGCAGTATAGTTTCTCAATCAGCTCAGCTATCATTATTACTGCCTACCAGAACCTGGTAAGTTACTCTTGGGTTAGGAAGCTCAATATTGCCATGCTTCACATAACTTTCAGTCTCCATTTAGTAAATTTAGAGACAGTCCACCAATTCTAAAATCCAAATTAAAAATTTAGAAGTTAATGAAACATATCAAGCACCATAAAAATAATTTTTAAATTTTACCCTAATTTCAAGAGAAGAACAAAAGTTGTACCAACTAGATGCTCACTGCTATACTTTCAAATATACCAATAACCAAAATCAACCTCAAGATTCAAAAATATGTAGAGGTCAGTAAATTACAGTTCAAAATGTCAACATAATATTTAACAGTCAAAATAACTATGAAAACTTCAAAACATGAATAACTTATGATACAACTCTAGGCGTTAACAAGGCACAAAATTGTACATTATGATTACATTTTTATAAAATATTTTTTAAAAGTCACTAAACCAAGAATAAAAATAAAAGATAAAACAGTCATTAAACCAAGAATAAAAATAGTACATTATGATTATATTTTTATAAAATATTTATAAAAATAGTCATTAAACCAAGAATAAAAATAACTCCCCATTCATCCCCCCAAAAACAATGGCTTTGGGAAACTCTGAGCTTTGCTTTTCAAAATTCCTTTTACCAGTTTTTTTTTTTTTAACTTTAAAGGCTACCAGACTGAGAAGTCCAGGGGAACTAACTAGAGACTTTCTTAGAAAAAGCCAGCTGAAAATGCCATTAGAATTACTCTTGTGTACTCTGTGCACTATCTCACCTGGTTGTGAAGGAAAGGAATATAAAGTAAAACCACAAGTTTGAATCTGCAATTACCTTATTTCTCTTTTAAATTATATTTTGTTTTTAAAGTCATGGGAAGTCAATAACAAATTTAGAAAACCTATTGTCCTACAAATACAAAAAAGGATTACATTTAAAAAGAAAAAGAAGCTGGCATGGTGGCTCATGACTAATCCCAGCACTGTGGGAGGCCACGGTGGGAGGATCACATGAAGCCAAGAGTTCAAGACCAGTTTGGACAACACAGAGAGAACTGGTCTCTACAAAAAAAAAAAAAAAAAAATCAATACATTTAGCCAGGTATGGTGTCATGCACCAATAGTCCCAGCTACTCCAGAGGCTGAGGCAGAAGGATCGCCTGAGCCCAGAAGGTCGAGGCTATGGTATACCCCTGATCATGCGACAGCACTCCAGCCTGGGTGACAAACTGAGATGCTGACTCAAAAAAATTAAAAAAGAAAAGAAAAAGAAGGCTTCTCCAATTTCTTATACCATGCAGATGGTTTAAAAAAATTTTTTAATATCTTTTATTAAGCAATATATGCTATTTGTTCTCTAATATTTCATCTGAATTCTAAATATTTTCTGATTAAACTAAGTAAAAATACATTCTCAGCTAAAATATCCAAAAGATTTTTTTCAATTTAGTAAAGCCTACACTAGCTTGTTTGCTTACTCAGTAGTACCTTAAATAGAAACCCCTTTCAAATGAGTCCTTAATAATACTTCTCAGTCTTCCCCTATACCTCCACCTTCATGTCTGGGGCTTAGAGAGAACCAAATAGCCCCAAACCCTGGAAGAACACGAAAACCAACACTGTGTGTGACTTGGCAGACAGCAGCTCTGAAGAGAGCCATGCAACTGTGAAACCAACTCTAAAACTGTAGCTTAGCATCTGCAGAACTGAACCCAAGTAAACTTTCCCAAAGGCCTCCCACCCTCCTTATGCCATGCTGTTTCGAAGCCATTGCTCTGGTAACATCTCTGCCCTTTTGAAATAAAATTAAAACATTCTATTGCATGCATGCCTCATCCAAACTGGCTGTCAAAGGGCCTGCACTGACTCCCTGGAATGACTTGATAAAATACTTCACATATGGCTCATCTAATTTGACAGTTTACATCTTCACATATGAGGAAATGCACTAGGCAAGCAGAAATGCTGATAAATACATGAAAGAATGTTCCATCACTGTGAATTGTATTGAAGAACAATCTCTCCCAGAAGAACTTTCATCTGCAAATATCAAAAAGACACTCAGACTAGCATTTGCATGAAACATTTCTATTTTAGTGAAGATTTGAGATGGCTGTAATATGGTAAAGACCTTCAAACTGTGTACAGGAGTCCTGCCACATTTCTGAAAGCTTTCTGATGAAACATTATTTTCTCATTTATTCTCCAAAGGACTAACATGAACTCTATCAAAAGACTAAAATTAAAATTCCCATTTAGGGTCAGGCACAATGGCTCATGCCTGCAATCCCAGTGCCTTGGGAGGCCAAGGTGGGAAGATTGCTAGAGGCCAAGAGTTCAAAATCAGCCTAAGAAACATACAAAATCTCATCTCTACAAAAAAACTTAAAATGAGCCAGGTATGGTGGCATGTGCCCATAGTCCTAGCTATGCAGGAGGATTGTCTGAGCCCAGAAGTTCAAGGTTGCAGTGAGCTATGATTGCACCACTGCACCCCAGCCTGGGCCACAGAGAAAGACCCTGTCTCAAAATAAAATAAAATAAAATTCCCACTTGATGCAATGGCCAAGTTTACACCAGAATTCTATCCTGAGAAACTGTGTAACTCAAGTTCTAGATGCCACAAAACAAACTTCATACTTTGTGGAATTTGTCATTTTTTTAAACGTTCTGAGAGTAAACTACTGGCAATACTGGTTATCCTGACTTTCAAATAAGTTTGAAGAGAGTCAAGAGTAAAGTAGAGCATTTGCCAGGGTCTTATGCTCAACACACTGGGTAACTTCAGCTCAGTCTCTTAACAGGCTACCCAATGCCTTACCTCCAAAGAAACTTTCCATCTGTTGTATGGCACTCACAAAAAGCCACCCTCCAATCTTATCTGTGACGAAGGAGTATGACTTTGTGTCCCTAGAGTGCCAAAGAAGGCTCGCTAGTTCCTGAATTTCCTTTCAGATCTAGAACTTCTCAGGAGCACAGACTTGAGACCTTGACAAAATGTAGTTCCCCATGCCAGGTGCCAGGGTTCACACCTGTAATCTATGGCACTTTGGGAGGCAGAAGCAAGAGTATTGCCCAAGCCCAGGGATCCGAGACCAGGTTGGGCAACTTGGCAAGACTCTGTCTCTACAATAAATCAAAAAATTAGCCTGGCATGGTGGTGCATGACTGTAATTCCAGCTACTTGGAAGGCTGAGTCAGAAGGACCGCTTGAGCCCAGCAGGTCAAGGCTGCGATGGCCATGAGCATGTCACTGCACTCTAGCCTAAGCGACAGAGTAAGACTCCGACTCAAAAAAAAAAAAAGTAGTTCCCCACGAGTTGCTTCAGCATAACCTGGGAACTTGTTAGAAACACAAATTCCTAGGTCCTGTTCAAGACCTACTGACTTAGACCCTCTGGACTGAGAGTCACTGAGTAACAACAGGAACACAGTACATCAATGTTGCGTCGATTATCATT